ACTTGTACACAAAATGTGGGGACCTCAAAACTGCCAAGATATTGTTCAATGGTATGTGGAAAAAAGGATGTCACCACATGGACTTCCATGATTCTAGGGCTTGCAATCCATGGCCAAGCAGAAGAAGCTCTCAGGCTTTTCACATCCATGGAAACAGCCAAAGGCAAGGTAGTGATTCCAAATGACGTTACGTTCATAGGAGTTCTAATGGCATGTAGTCACACAGGAAAGGTAGAACCAGGCAAGAGGTATTTCAGAAGAATGTTTCAAGAATATTGCATAAAGCCCAGACTGTCCCACTATGGGTGTATGGTGGTCCTGTTTTGCAGAAAAGGGATGCTAAAAGAAGCATATGGTTTCATTATGGAAATGCGAATTTCCCCGAATGCGATTATATGGAGAACACTGTTAGGGTCATGTGGCATTCATGGCAACATTGAGCTTGCTGCAGCAGCTTACAGCAAGCTGCTTGAAATGGAGGAGGCACTTGGTGGGGATCATGTTGTTATGTCTAATATTTATGCTGCCAAAGGCATGTGGGAGGAGAAAGTGAAGCTTAGAGATGAGATGGGGCATAGAAGGATTCCAGGTTGGAGTTCAGTCAAGGTGGGGAGTTTCCTTTCATGATTTTGTTGTAAAAGATAATAAACCTTGATCTATCTAATCCATTAAGTCTCCTTTCACGAGTTTGGCTAAATGAATTTTTATTATTATTTGGGAGTAGAGTATAAAGGAATTAGACAAACTATTACGTAGAATCAGTTAACTGCAACATTTAAATACTATCCTCCGTCTCTTTTTAATCGCAACATATTGAATTTTACACTATTCACATGTTCTATTTTGACTACATTTTATATTATTATTTTATGAAAATTATTTTTTTTTAAATTATTGTTCAATTCATCTCATTACAAAATTTCAAAATCTAATTTTTAAATAATTTTTTACTAATAGAGATTAAGATATAATTACGGTCAAAGACGTGCATTGACCGTTGCAACTAAAAAAGAACGGAGGAAGTATTAAAAATTGAATACAAATCACGTGATTAATATATTAATGTGAGGAGGATTCACGTGTATCAATTTTTTCACTTATATCATGAATTGAATATGTAGTGGAATCCATATGAGAAGTGGTCGGAGTAATAGTTTCTTATATGACCTAATAGAAGGTGGTAGATAAATAGCTATGCCACTGACCATGTTTCTTACAATGATGCTGGAGGATTGATGTGGGATCCTGGTATCAATGGTTCTTTCTCACTGAAATCTGCATATAATGTAATCAGATTTAGTAGATCAACAACTTTTTCAGATAAGCATATGTGGAATAAATATCAGCAAATGAATGTGAAAATGTTCATGTGGAAACTTCTCAATGCTTATCTGCCTATCCCTGATAATCTACAAAGATTTCAGGTCTGCCTGCAACCTTCCAGGTGCCCATTCTGTAATTCTCATGGGGAATCAACAGATCATTTGTTCTTTGGATGTCTTTACTCAAAGAAAATTTGGAATTACTACATGGATATTTTTAGTATACCTGGTGCCAGTGCTTCTACTTTAAAACAAGTAATAATCTTTTGGTGGATTGAGGCTGGTTCAAAGAATCTGTCTGACATATTCAAGCATAACATGCCGGGTATAATTTGTTGGCACTTGTGGAAGACCTACTCTTCTTATGTTTGGGGCTCGACACCTATTCCTTCTCCAGCTTATTTAACCACTCAAATCAAGTGCTACACTCAAAGTTGGGCTTGCAAATTATCTAAACTCAAACCTAGAAATGTGGAAAATTTTCTTAAACAAGAAGGTCTGATTTCGAATAATTTCAGGTTCCAATATTTAGGTTTACAGGTTATCAAGTGGATACGACCCAAAAAAAATTACAAAATGAATGTAGATGTTGCGTTCTTACCTGGTTCGGCTCAAGGAGGAGCTATTCTGCGAAATGGTTCTGGAGAATTGCTATGTGCTATGACGTTTCAAATCCAGGCAGAGAATAGTGAGGAGGCGGAATTCTTGGCGATGGTGTACGCTTCGGAGATGGCGATGGCGGCCGGTCTTGTTGACGTTCAGGTTGAAACGGACGCGGCTCGTTCGATTGCTAGATTGAATGATGAATCTGGAAACTCTGCTGGGTTTCACATTTTTAGAAGGAAAGCTTCGGACAAGGGGTTTAGTTTTGGGCATGTGTACAGGGAAGCTAACGGCCCGGCCCATTTCTTAGCTTCTCATCCCATAAATTCAGCCCAATGTGTTTATTTTGATCGGGTTATTCATTTACCGAGATTGGTTAAAGCTAGTTATTATGCGGATTTATTTGGTATTCCTAGCATTCGTTTTTAAAATTTCTTGTAATTTTATTTTTTGGGTCAGGTCTAGCCCCCCCAAAAATGATTTTTTTCTGTCTCATTTTATCATGTATTTTTCGGAGGAATGCCTCCGAAGAGAGGTTTTGGTCCGGTCCCCCTCTCTTTTTGTATCTTTTGATTTTATTAATAAAATAATGGCAAATGTTCCCCGGCATTTGCCCCACTGATTTTGGTGGTTTGCCTTCTGGGTAAAAAAAAAAAAAAAATAGAAGGTGGTAGATTGAGATGTTTTTAGTTGGAGTGGAATAGATCAAATATAAACAAATCAAACCAAACTTAAACAATAGCAAATGCAAATAAATCAGACATTTTTCCGACCAAATCGAACCAGATAAGATTAAATAAGAAATTGCCAATCCAATTAAAATCCTTGAATCGTAAGACATTTTTTGTGAATATTGGGTAATAATGGTAAATGCTTCAATGTTATGAATTATATTGTTCGAAATAAAGTTTTCGTTATTTGGTTAACTTTGAAACCAATGATTACTACGTAGTATGTAGTATGTAGCACACTAAGCTACATGCACACTTTTTTATACACACCTTATAACACAAAAGTGTCCCTATACTTTTTTGTGATGCTTATTTCATACAGGTTTGCTACTTGTACACACTTTCTTATACACACCTATGTGAAAGGCTATTTTTTTCTCTGTGAATCCCGTTCATGGACAAAATATGTCTGTAAACATAGGAAAAAAAATAGTCTTCTCACATAGGTGTGTACAAGAAAGTGTGTACAAGTAGCAAAACTATATGGAATAAGCATTATTGTTCGAAAAAAGCTTAGTCTTTTCACATAGGTTGTATAAGGTGTGTATAAGAATGTGTGTACAAATAATCGAGGTGTGTATACGATGTCTATAAAATGTGTGTACAAATAACAGAGGAGAGTATAAGGTGTCTATAAAATGTGTGTACAAATAAAAAATTTCTATTTCACAAGGGAATTTGAGTCCTGAAGTGTCCACACTTTCCTCATTAACCCTCACGGAAAAAATTACTTACCGAATTGTTGGATTGTTTTCCTTCAAATAGAAGGAAAAAATATAAGACATAACATCTCTTCACCTACGTACCAAATATAAGGAAAATTCTTATTAATGATGAACACCAGTTGAAAACTTGAGATTATGAATAAACACGATTTGTAATGAGTTCAGTTTTTCTAACTAATCCATTCTCTCATGAGTCCATTTTGTGTTGTGTAGATGAAGCAGGTAAAACTATTTTGAGTATTTTTTGAATAAAATGAATTAAGTATTAATATCATTATATGTCACTGCTCTTCAAAAACACTAAATGAGAAATGTCTATCCTCGCACAAGTTGTCTCGTCACTTTTAGAGCTTGCCAAGTTATAAAGCCGTAAGACAATTACATGATTACTCCCATTTGAGAGTAATAGTAAAGTTGACATGATACATTAGTATAGTACTCCGTATAAAATCATGATTTTGTCGATTTTGATATCTTAGAGTAATAAATTATATTGAAATCGTATAGAGTAGAATTGATCTATGAAATAAAACTGGCCAAGCTTTATTAGGATATAAAATAAATGCAAACTTCTAAAAAGGAAGTAAATTCAATGGAGCAAATATTTTGCAAAGCACATAACAGTTATTACTGCATAATGTATTATGCATAGATGATATCTTTGAACAAAAATAGTCAGCTGAAAGAGACCATGAGACCATACAAAACCTGGTCTGGTCACCATCCCAACTCTTCTTCTGGTCTTCACCAAATCAAGATCTCCCATAAGGTTGTGGAGTCCAAATATGGTCTGATTTCATGGCCTATTCTGGTTGCTCTATTGGTCAACATTACAGTTCTGCTTTCTGTCTTCACACTCCTCAAAGAGCAGCAACTTTTTGATGGCTTCTCGGCGGTTTCAAACGCAAGAAGCAGTCATTCGAAACCCGAGAAAGGTAAAAAAAAACATGTTTTTATGATTGCTCAAATACTTTATATACTAGTTTGTAACTTTGTATCTTCATATTTATTCGATATGGATGACGACCCTTATCTGCCTTCATAAAATCAGAAAGAGAACTTGATGATGAGCTACTTGGTGGACTTCTACATTCCAGATTTGATGAAAGATCATGTCCAAGTAGGTACCAATCAGTTCATTACTTAAAAGGACTTAAGCGCCAACCTTCACCATATTTAATATCCAAGCTGAGAAGCTATGAAGTTCTTCACAGGCAATGTGGACCTTACACGGAACAATATAATAAAACTGTGCAACTCATCCAGTTGGGGGGAGAGTTATCTCCCACACACTGCAAGTATGCCATTTGGACACCTTTTAGTGGGATGGGCAATCGGATTCTCACTTTAGCTTCATCGTTCATATACGCCATTCTCACAAACCGAATCCTTCTTTTGGATTTTCGGGATTTCACATCTGATCTATTCTGTGAACCGTTCCCTGAAACGTCTTGGATTTTACCACGGGATTTCCCCATTGCTCATTACTTGGGAGAATTTAATCAGACCTCTCCTTATTGCCATGGGTATATGGTCAAGAACAATTTGACAGGACAGTCTTCTGGAATTCCTCCCTTCATATATCTAAATTTGATATACGACATGGATCAATATGACGAATCATTCTTCCGTGACACTGAACAACAAACATTCTTGAACAAAGTACCATGGATAATTGTGATGTCAGACGAGTATTTCATCCCGTCTCTTTTCATGATGAAATCATTCAAGGAAGAACTCAAGAACATGTTCCCCGACAAAGACTCCGTTTTCCACCTCCTTGGACGGTATAATAGAAGTATTTTTTTGTTATTTTCTTTTGAACAATATAAATACATAGGAGTTGACAGAAAATAGAATCTTAATAGGTGTTTTGAATGGTGTGTGATTTTAGTCAGGTAAAAATTTGTGTTTTAGTGAGGAACTCTCCAAAATATGACTTAAAACAAAGCGCTCTCCTCTGCAAAAGTTTTAGCTTACACTAGCTCAAGCATTTTTGGCTAGATTATTTTGAAACTAGTCTCCCTACCAGGTTTGGGAGGAACTCTAATCTCCAAACTTTGATTAGATCGCAGAAATCTAGAACATTTTACAATGTACATGAAACTTCTCTAGTATAGAAACATATAAACATTCTACATTTTACATGAAACTTCTTGGGTAATTCTAGAATACGCATAGCTTAGAAACATGTAAATAAATGCAGCGGTAGGAAAGTTGGAGAATAATCAAGGGTCGAAACCCGAAGTCGTGTGAAGGGTTGAGCCTCTGGTGCACACAGGTATAAGGTCTATCACCGTTAGGATCGGTTGAATCACTGTGATTTACATCATCCCACAAACTCTGTTGAGTTGGGGCGTGGGAGGCCATTGGGGTTGGGGATTCAACCTTTTGGAGAATATAAATAAATGCAGCACTCTTTAAGTTTAAGACTTTTTAGTACGATATATAAGTTTATATCAGACATACAGTAATTGGTTTAGACAAGAAAATGCAATTGTTTTTTAATATATATATATATATATATATAATACCTCTGAACAGGTACCTATTTCATCCCACAGAACTAGTGTGGGGTCTCATTACTAGATACTACCAAGCCTACTTAGCACAAGCTGATGATAAGATTGGCGTTCAGATTAGAGTGTTTGATGGACCATCCTGGCCTCTACAACATGTATTTGATCAGATAATTACATGTACCTCAATGTGGAATATACTACCACCTGTTATTAAAAATGGTCATCGGTCAACAGTCACCAGTTATCGGGAGATAAAGAACACGACGAAAGTTGTTCTCGTGACATCGTTGAATCCAGGGTACTCCGACGCAATCCGTTTAATGTACTCAATGAATCCAACAGAGACCGGGGAGGTGATTCAGGTTCATCAACCAAGTCATGAAGTGTTTCAAAAAATGGAGGATTTATTACACTACACAAGGGCATTGGCAGAAATTTATCTTCTTGCTATGAGTGACACATTGGTCACAAGTGCATTGTCAACTTTTGGATATGTTGCTCAGGGTTTTGGAGGACTAGAATCTTGGGTCATGTATAAGCCAGAGAATGATACAGTTCCTGATCCCTCATGTGGAAGAGTCCTTTCCATGGAGCCTTGCTTTCACCTTCCCCCTTCACATACAATAATGGAGCATGTTTCTTATGTTAGGCCTTGTGAAGATAAACTTAACGGTCTCAAGCTCTATAGGGATACCAATTAATTTGTATTGATTGAAATTGTTTCTAGGGGACAACATATTGACGTTTTAACATTTTTGTAATTTTGCTACACATAGACTCATGCCAAAAGAATTATACACGAAAATAGATCTTAAGTGTGAACATCTTCTAATTCGATATCAAGTTACATAAAAATGATAGAATGATTTCGAACGATCATAGTCTACATAAAACTAGACTAGACTTAAACATCATATCAGAGTTAAACAGATTAGAAAAGAGGTAACTCAAATATATTACTAAAATACGGAGTAATACTTATTTACACAAACATGACTAATAGTTATTATGTATAATATAATGTCATGCTCACTTAAATTTAAAAATTAAGCATAAATTTCTATTGAGTATGATTTAGTTACTACTAAAATTAAGCATAAACTTTATATAATCATATATATGTAATTATTTCATCAGAAAATTACATTAAAAACATTCACTTTTCCTATTTTGGTTTGAGATTTTTTGTGCGAACCTATTAAATACTTACTAGGGTGCACGGGTACACCACAAGTCCACAGACGATTTTGCTTCAAAGCGATAAGACATGGCATAAAGTAATTATTCCATCCCTCTATAGTTACCAGTATAAAAGTTTGCAAAAAAAAAAATACGGAGTAAGAAAAAATGAATAAAAAGTACGGACTATATAAAAGAGTTTACATTATTATTCCACCTCGGTATAGTTTATTACTTTTTTCATCACAATTAAAGTATTAAGTCGCAATCAGCAGCTAGAGGCTTAAAGCATTATAAGAGCATCTTTAGAGCATCTTTACTGGGAGAATGGATTGTTAAAAAATGCATTGCCACATCATATAAATAGATTTTATGGTAAATTTACATACTTCACTGGGAATGTGCGTTTACCATCCGTTGCTGAGTTGGATTAAAAAAACACTCACACCCTCGACCTGACCTTCTACTTTCAGCAAGCCTCCCAACAGCGTGACTCTGCTCCATGAGTTTTCTATACAAGTGACATGTCCATTTTTAAAGGGGTACAATCCACATGTCCATTAGAGAATATCTAAACCTAAAACCTGTAAGTTTCGGAAGCCATCACTGATCAAGGGCATAATAGACTGCTTTTGTGAGCTTTTAGCAATATCACATATCTTATTCTTAGCGAAACAAACTCCCTCAATATGTTGACTCTCAGGAAAATTTATAAGATTCTGATTGAATTGAGTGATTTTGCTGAATTATGAAAACAAATTATATTTCATACATATTTTATAAGTAAAATAGAGAAAAAGTTATATGAAAGTAGTTAAAATAGTTTTCTACAGTAACATGAGACAATCAAGACAAAAAAATAATTCTAACCTTACTTATTATGATCATTATGCAACTCAGCGCGTGAAACCAAAAGTTACGTGTTTGATAAAAATGTTTGCCGATAAAGCTGATAGAACGAAAAACATGGTCATCAAACAGGCTCAATGTTGGGTGTGTTTCGGAAAATAAAGAAAAATTAATTAATAAAATTAATTAAAATGACTAAAAGAAAAACAGAAAGAGATGGAGCAGAATTTAGTCAAAGCTCGTGCTACACATGATGTCCTTAAAACGTATTCAGCACCTCCCACGGTGCTAGGAGCGTTGCAACGACCGTTTCCCAGGATGCGGTGGCTAACGAACAATCGTTTGAGCACACAAATGAAAGTTCTGGCGAACAAGAACAAAGTATGAACACTTGGGATTTTTTTCGAAATACTGGAGGTGTGTTTAGCTCAAAAACTACGTGTAGACTATGTGTGAATGTCTATTGTTGCAAAACACCTGCCAGCTATATATAGGGATGGATTTGTTGAGTGTTAAGTGACCTTTAATGAACCTGAACGTTGGACATAAATGACTAGAACGTTGGGCATTAACTGTTGTAACGGACCAGATCCATTCTGGTGCGTGACCAGAACACCCGATGGTCTTCTGGCCCCGGAGCGACCAGAACACCCACACCAGGTCTTTTGATTCCGAGCAGTTCTGTTGTGGAGACGAGAATAAGCCGAAGCCGTTCTGTCCCAGCACTTCCTGGTTCTTGGAAAATATGGATTTTTGGATGACATTCGTGTCCGCATGTCGCCCGCGCAAGTCGCGATTTTTCTTCTCCGTTTTCGGGATTTGATTTGCACCTCCTGCGTGCAAAGAGATTATTTCCACATAGGAATCTTAACTCCTTAAAAGAGGCTTCCCTTTATAAGGGGTTCAAAATCCCCTAGGTTTTCCAGTGTGGTATGAATCACACTAGAAACTCATCTTTTTTTCCAGATGTTTCATTTCAACGAGTGAACTTTGAGAATCAATTTCTCATTCACCCGTTATCCGTTTTGAGCGTACCACATATCGAATTGTAGCGCTTATCAAGAACAATCCAAAACCACTTTGACCCGACACAAATCGGAAGTGGACCTCACTCAAAATATTGCCCCAAAATTACCATTTAATGCAATTTTTAACACATATTTCCAACACTCAAAAACCACAATAATATTCCTAATACTACACTAACCATAGTGATGCTCTAATAAGTCCTTTAAAGTGAGCACTTGAGCTCAAACATCCAATACTATTCATTCAGATCGATAATAACTTGGATAGAACCAATCATTCCCAAATTAAACATGTGCCGTCTTAGGATGTCTAGGACTCGAAGAGTCGAAGCTAACCAGCCATTTAACTTCTGACAGAATTTGAATCTGTAGGATCAGGAATCCATCGACCAAATGGAAAATGACCAAAACTTATAGAAGCAGACACTACAAAAAAACACGCGTGTAGTCACGGACTTAGTCACGGAACTAGTCACGGATATGGCCGTGACTAATATTATCCGTACATAATAACGTTGCGCATTAAGTTAAGGGAGTTGAAAAAATTAAAATTTAATTATAGTCACGGGTATAGTCACGGAGTTGGCCGTGACTAAGTCGTCGGAGTGAGATAAACTTCGCCGGAAACGGAAACGGGCCAATCGGAGGACTTAAGTCACGGGCCCAGACCGTGACTACCATTAGTCACGGTCATAGTCACGGTCTGGACCGTGACTATTTTTTTTATATATATTCGTGACTAGTCCGTGACTAGACCGTGACTAAACTAGTCACGGACCAAATCCGTGACTAAAATCCGTGACTATAACGATGTTTTTTTGTAGTGAGAGGGAGGCTGCGAGATACTACTAAAAGAGATGGGGGCGGGCAGCAGTGCTAGAGTCATCACAATATCCATTGAATAGAAAGGCCGGTGGAGGATCCGCCGGTTAGTGTGGAGGTGAGTTGTGGGGCCGGCGGAAGTAGTGAAGGTGCAAAACTGTAATAGCAAAATGCTTATGAATAAGGAGGAAGCCATAGTGATAAGAAATTATTAGTTTAGAGTCTAAATTTGAGTCTAAATTTTCTTCAATTTTTATGGGCCAAGGCCCCCCACCGCCTGTCCCCCGCCCCTAGGGCCACCCTGATCACAACTCTAATATGTTGAGGTACGTAGACTAGTATCTTTCTAGTGTATATATATAAAGTAACCAATTATGCAACGTGAATATGACTAAAAGTCAGTGGGTAGCATAACTGAGAATAAGAAAGAGGAACTTCCCATTTAATATATGTGCAACGTGACTAGCATTTCATTCTCCCATCAAATTAGGAAAAAATGTCTAGGACATAGATTGGGAAAGACATGATCTTTTATCATATGAGAGATAAATTTCTCTAACAAATTAAATCAAATTAGTTTTTGACAAATATAAAACACAAGGAGATCAAACCAACCATTTACCAAATAAGATCAAATTAGATGAGTTCAAAAAATTACATTACAATTAAAAATATACTAAATATGCAGACGTATTAATAGGGGCGGAGCTAGGATGTGATATGAAGAAGGGGGCCGAATTATTGATACGTTGTTTACCCTAAATTTTTTAGAAAAAATCCGTTAATATTACTCTTTAAAATGTCATGGACAAAAATATTACTTAGTCATTATGAGTAACTATAATTGTTTTAATCATATCTAATACCATGTAATGTATTTTTTGATGAAATAATTAAGCATTTATGCCTCTAAAATAGGGCGGGTGCCACGAGCTAATAAGAATTTTTTATTCACTAAAAAATTGGGAGATAATCAAAGTATTTTCTACTACCCCATACTATATCAAAATTGACAAAAAAGAGAGTATATATATTAGATAAAATAACTGTGTAACATTTTATTAATAAAGCTTAAGATGGGACGAAGCTAAGCTAGTATCAAATGATACAGGTATATTTGATGCTAATTTGGCCGTGAAGCTAGAGGGTACAAATGAATAAAAGTGAAACAAGAATTTCGGTTTGGGAGAGACAAATTAAAGATAGGAAAGGATCAACTTCCCCTTGCCTGCCATTCATGTGCAAAGGCTAAATGTTTGTGAACACCTCTTATCCATCTATATCTCAAAGGAACCAACATATACTTGTATTAATTAATTCCAACAAATAAGCGAACAATTCTTTTTGGGAAACATTATCTCGGCTGGTGTACACGTTTCCGGCATAAAAATGTGCAACTTCAGGCCCCCTTTCGGTTGGGTAGTCAAATGGAACATTATCGATCTAATCCAAATTTTTTAATATTATTTGTACAAGTGAAGTAACTGTCCAAGGTTGGATGAGTCGAAAACCTGATCTAGTCCTCAGCGGCCGTCAACGTCAACGAGTAGTTGGAAAACCTGTCCCTAGCTCAGCTCCCTCCTTTGGGACTTTGGAGTTGAGCTGAGCTCAAACATGAGTACGCTTGAGTTTGAGTTTAACAAGGACTCCTGAGCTTGAGTTCAAAATCAAGCTTAGACGAGTTAAATTATTCGTATTCAAACTCGTGTTGACCCGAACTCAACTCGAAGCCAGCTCGAGTTCGGGTCATTAAG